TTTACAACTGCTATTGTAATAATATGTTAAGAGCCTTGTATTAAATTTTCAAGATTTTTTACCCAAAAAATAAATTTTTATCGATTTTAATTTAAAAAAAAACTAATAATGATTGAAAATTGCATATAACTATGAATAGTTCAATTAAAGTCAAATTTTTTTAAAAATTTCATGGTGAATAGAACATAGGTACTWATCTAAAAATTCGGTGAAAATTTCATGTATTTACAGTGATTAGTTTTTGAATTACAACCATATAAAAAAATCGACTTGGTCGAAAACTGGTTTTGCCTAAAAACCCCGTTCTTCTGTCACTTTTTTTGTTTTTCTCGATTTTTTTGAAAACTGTTGGAAAATGTTTACTTATTATCACTAAAATGAACCAAGGATATTCACTTTTCCATCGGAAACCACCCCCAAAGTTTGAAATTAAAGCATTATTTTGACTAGTTATGCTCTACACAGACACAAAAACAAAAAAAATAAACACACACATCATTGTAAAATCATTCATCACTCCGTTAGAATCTACAAAAGAGGGTACCAAAAAATTAGTTTATAATTAATTACCAATTTAATAAGAATACGATTATTTATGGATAGGTAATGATACAATCATAATTTCAAATTAATAAACATAACGTCATCTAAGTCGTATAGCCAGTGTCATATTTTTCAAGGTTGACTTAAATTGTACAAATTATAATTGTCAATAAATTAAATTTATAAATTCATGAGATTTATCGTTATTTAGAGCGATAGCATCATGTAAGTATTTAGGCACCTAACCTAACATCGACATGATAATCGAAGTAGGTAAATAGTACAGGTATTACTGAGGTTTGCAGTTTAAATTCCGATGATTCTATATTATAAATTAAGAAACATATTTGTAACATAAAAAACTAATTTCGATCACAACCTTAGTTCAAACTGAAATTTTTCCAAATATTTTTTTACCAAAATGAAGCTTAGCGAAGGCTTTATTTATCTATAACAAATGTGGAAACATATCGAAATCTTTTCCACCTCAAAATTCTATAAATGTTAAATTTCTATTGATATTGGTATCAACAAGTGTCACGGCAAGAATTTATAGAAAAAATAGATAATAATTTAATCGTTTTTTTTTAAATCAATATGTTAATCGAAGTGAATAGTAAAGGTATAAC